ACCTTCCGGGTCCCTTGATTGGTCAATCTAATATCTTGTTTCGTATCCTAATATAAATAAACTGATAACAGAGAACTTTGATTTGTATGGCATAAGTTGTTTTTATCTTTAATTTGCGTTTTTCCTGTTCCTAGCCTCCAAACAATGCACGACTGTTAATTTGACAAATTTTTAACACAAATAAATGATATAAATGGAAGGGAATCTTGTGTCGTGTTTTTTTTTATGAATACTGGTAAGAGAAAGTGTTAATAAATACTTTTCCACAGCATTTTCTAGGGAAGGAATGATTAAAAAAAGAATAAAAAACAAGAATGTGTAGAAGAACATTTTTTTTGTGGGGATAAAATTTCGTTGATTTATCATCAAAACTAGTTTCGTGGGGATTTAATTTCGTTGTTTTGAAACTAATCATATTCAAAATACAGTCAAATAAATTTTATGTGTGAGAAAAAATCAATGCTCACTAGTAATACCCCCCTCTGAGGTACATGTATATATAAAGTATCAAGTTAATATACAGAAGTTCGTTTACGAGTAGATGCACGGAAAAAAAAGAAGTTGACATCAGATTCATATTAAAATAAATCCTAACGTATTGCATGCCTTAAAAAAGTTTGTTTTAAAATTTCAAGATAAATATGCAAATATTTTTTCTGTTCTGAAAATGTCAAAATTGTCCTGTTATGTCTTCAAATACCTTCCGGGTCCCTTGATTGGTCAATCTAATATCTTGTTTCGTATCCTAATATAAATAAACTGATAACAGAGAACTTTGATTTGTATGGCATAATTTGTTTTTATCTTTAATTTGCGTTTTTCCTGTTCCTAGCCTCCAAACAATGCACGACTGTTAATTTGACAAATTTTTAACACAAATAAATGATATAAATGGAAGGGAATCTTGTGTCGTGTTTTTTTTATGAATACTGGTAAGAGAAAGTGTGAATAAATACTTTTCCACAGCATTTTCTAGGGAAGGAATGATTAAAAAAAGAATAAAAAACAAGAATGTGTAGAAGAACATTTTTTTGTGGGGATAAAATTCCGTTGATTTATCATCAAAACTAGTTTCGTGGGGATTTAATTTCGTTGTTTTGAAACTAATCATATTCAAAATACAGTCAAATAAATTTTTGTGTGAGATTTATGTTAAAAGCGAAAAATACCAAAATTATCCCCCCACGAATATTTGTGTATTAACAATATAGATGGTTTATGATGTCAGATGGATCTGTAAAAAAAAAAGATAAAATGTAAAAAAAAAAAAAAAAAGAAGGAAAAGGAAAAAAAACACACACAATTTGGCTAAACACTTAATGGTCTATTTCTCATATATTTGAGCAACATTTCTTAAGATGTTTTTTTGTTTTATAACATAATTTTTCAGATTGGATATACAGTGTATTATGTAACGAATTTTAATCAAGCTCAAAATGCTATTGAAACAATATAAATCAGTAAACGGAAAACAAGTTTTTTACAGAAATCAGTTAAAATATGAGCCAACCGCTCTATCCAAAATGAAAATTATAATAAAAATCATGATAATAAACATCTGAAGCAGTGATTCTCTTAAATGATTGAATATTTTAAATCAGAAGTTGGGGTTTATGCAAATTATGTTAAAAAATAAAAACAGGATGCGTTTTTGGTCATTCTTATAACATTTTCATGATATGTTTCTTGACGTTATACACTAGCGAGAAATCAACATCATCATTTACGTAAATAACATATATAGCTAAACATAAGAAAAAAAAACTATTTTAAAAATTCTAAAGAACTTTATTTCTTTTTAACAAATCTCCATCTGTTGAAGAGGGTACGGATGAAAAAAAATATTACACCTGTTCAGGTACACATGTGACATTTTTATGTTATATATAAAAATTACTGGGATCCGTTCTCATTATTATTACGTTGGACATTAGACATTAGTTATTTGACCTTCAAAATTTAGTATATGTTCCCTTCTCTCTTCAAAACTTATTTCTAATTTTGATATTTAACAAATAAGAAATCAATGCTAACTAGTAATACCCCCGCTCTGAGGTATATATATATATATACAGTATCATGTTAATATACATAAGTTTGTTTACGGATAGATGCACGGAAAAATAGGAAGTTGACATCAGATTCATATAAAAATACATCCTAACGTATTGCATGCATCAACAATGTTTGTTTTAAAATTTCAAGATAAATATGCAAATATTATTTTTTCTGTTCTGAAAAGGTCAAAATTGTCCTATTATGTCTTCAAATACCATCCGGATCCCTTGATTGGTCAATTAAATATCTTGTTTCCTATCCTAATGTAAATAAGCTGATAACAGAGAACTTTGATTTGTATGGCATACGTGGTTTTATATCTAATTTGCGTTTTACCTGTTCACAGCCTCCAAACAATGCACGACGGTTAATTTGACAAATTTTTAACACAAATAAATGATTTAAATGGAAGGAAATGCTGTGTTGCGTTTTTTTTTTTATGAATCATGGTAGGAGAAAGTGTTTTTAAATACTTTTCACAGCATTTTCTAGGGAATGGACGATTAAAAGAATAAAAAAAACAAGATAGTGTAGAATTACATAATTATTTTTATGGGGATAAAACTTCGTTGATTTATCATCAAAACTAGTTTCGTGGGGATTTAATTTCGTTGTTTTGAAACTAGTCATATTCAAAATATAGTCATATAAATTTTCGTGTGAGATTTGATTTTATTGATAATTATTAAAATCGAAACATAAAAAAAATATTCCCCCACGAATATTTGTGAATAAACAGTATAGATGGCTTATAAGGTCAGACTGATTTGTAAAAAACAAACAAACAAACAAACCATTAATTTTTGCGTTTACAATTTAATATTATTTTAAATTATATGTCATGTAAATAAATTATGTAAAACTGTTTTAAAAGTCAGTAGGCAATAGTGATACATTTTAAAATTAAAATGGCAGTTATCCAATTATAAGTATACCTACAAATTTAGTCCCGATACATTTTATTTCTGTAAGCTGCATTACAAGTAGTAAAAGGTCATAGGAAGAATTTGTTTTTGAATTTTGAGAAATCTTACACTCACAGGGCCTTGACCGCAAGGTATTCAATATATACTGAAGGGATACTCCTTACTGTGGAGAAATTTTTATCTGATACTAGTTATATCTTCAAAATGCTACCATGATTAAAAATATCGGACCAATCATTTATTAGGTTCAAAACATGGTCTTTATACATTGAATACCTTAAGTCAGGTTTGTCATGTTAAAAAACAGCATCAACACAATAGCATCTAGCCAAGTATCTTTGAAAAAAAAACAGACTGGCATTTACACATATGATAAAGGCATTTTAAACCATTTAAATAAATAAACCATGTAAATTTGTGCATAGAAATCAAACGATATGATTACTTTCAATATCTATTTCATACACTTTGATAAAAATTAAAAACAAGCTTCCCAAGGATATTTTTTGGTCATTACTGTCCATTATCTTCATGTACATATTTCACTGACACTTTGAGCAGCCCTTGATGCATTTATACACATTCAGCCTCAAGTTCAGTAAGTAAAATAAAAAAAAAATATTAAACGTGAAATTGATTCTGACATGGGACTAGCAGTAAAACCAATTTAATTTGTTCATATTAACCCACTACCAACAAAGAAATGTTCTAAGTGCAATCCTCAGGGGAAAAAATCAATTATCATTTAAAAACTGACTTTAGAAAAAAGGAAAACATTTTTTCACCTATATTCTTACTTTTGTGTTTAATTGTGTTTTTCAGTAGATAATGATATATTGTTTAATAGTACGTGAACATTAGATGAGGCAACGGAAACATTTCCTACTTAGTTGAGTCGGAGGCTACAGTTATTTGAAAATCTAACTATTTGCAACTTTTTGGGACATAAAGAGCATACTTATTTTTTTTATTTAAATTAGCCTGAGCTAGTCTGATCGGGAAAAAAATTAGCTTTGTGACTATCTGCAAGTATGCAACATTTTGAACAATGCACTTTCAACGGACTTGGAAGTAACATTAATTTAAGAAATGATTCCTGCGTCGGATGAATTGTTGGAGACTATACTCAGATAATGGAGAATATTTGTTGACAAAATAAAAACATAGTGCTCAACTGATGAGGGTTTTATTTGCCCACAAGATGTCGTGATTGCGACGTACTTTTTTATAATTAAATTCTGACAACAAATAAACTATTGCTATTCTGCAAAGGCGAATTATTTAAACTTAGAGAAATGAAAAATCCAGATTTGAAGTTCATCATGTCTTTATGACGTCACAATTAAATGCTATTCCTGTTCGAAAGGATTGTGAAAAGTAAGCAGAACCCTAAGTAATTTACCTACCAAAAAGAGCATGACAAAAAAAAACTATGATACAGAAGAAGAGGAAAACGATGTAAAATCACGAATAATTTGCCGATATTACGTTTGTTTACTGTAGAATTATTAATGACCGCGGTTCGTTTTTGATCTTGGCAATTATTGTAAAAGTATATGCTTAAATTAATTAGCCTGCGATGGATACAGTGTATAGATAATTCTGTGTAATTATAAATTACATGTATTTGAATTAATCCAACTTCTTTGAAGTGACAGTTAGGACCATCTGTAATGTACCGGTATACTATGCATGTGTGATTGTTTTAAATTGTGTGTTGATGAGGGTGTGTGTGGGAGAAAAAGAGGTAAGGGAGGGTGTGTGTGTGTGATTGCGAGGGTAAGTGTGGGGATGTGAGTGAGTGTCTGGTCAAAGTTTTCATGCACAAAGATATTTTGTACGAACAACTTTAAAAACATTTCATACACATGAACAGATGATAACAGAAGGTTATATTTAGAGCTTGACCTTAAAACGTGATATTTGTCATGTGACAAAGTAATAATGTTTAAATACATCTGCATTTATAATCCCCATTTATAATGTACCACTGTCACCAATAATCCTAGTCATAAAATGGCGGAGAGTAATCCAAAATACACACTCGGTTCTCCCCAAGAACATATACCAATATGCGAAGAACATGGTTTATCTATAGATTGGATATGTGAAGACTGTGATACGTTCATTTGTTCTACGTGTGCAAAAATGTATCACAATGGACATAACTGTGTCTCGCAGACTTCGGCAGCCAGTCAAAGAAGGAGAGTACTCCTTGAATATATCAGGGATATAAAGGAGGAGCATTTGTTGAATATTGATGAGATAATTCTCAAAAAGAAGACCGAAAATCAAAATTCTTGTGACTCTCAGGTAAAAAAGTTACAGAAGCATTTTGAAGAAATTATCATGACTTTAACAGAAATCAAGAAAATCAAGGAGGAAACATTGAAAGCTATTCTAAGAAAGAAAAATGAAGAACTAGGCAACGAAAGGTATCGGTTAGATGAGAAAAAGAATAAAATAACTGAAATAGTGGAATATTTGGAAGAATACCACACCGCCATTTCTGATAAGAGCTTAATTGAGAACCAGGGAGATCTGGCACATCTGCTTGATGACATTAAAAGAGACTTGCAGAACTGTGAATTTTCAGTGACATACAAGGAAAGAGAGATGGACAATGCTAAGCTGGAGTCCATATTTGGTCATTTTCTTTATTTAGATGACGTCAGTGTTATTGAAACAAATTCATTTCAATATAGTAGTCATCCAATTTTAGCTTCGGAGGCATTGAGCGAAGATGGGTGCTACATGCACGTAAAGGACAAGAAATCAGATTTTATTGAACTGGTCAACAAACAAGGCAAAAAGAAACAGAAATTAAGTATTAGATTAAACGATTTTTTTGTAACATATAGTGGTATCTATTTCACAACTATAGAGAATAATTCGATTTGTTGCATTTCTCCATTAGGATCGGTTTCAACATTTTTGAGTACAAACTCATTGATTCCTATGGGAATTTGTAAATCATTGGATGACGGGCTTTTTGTTTCTTTGGTTGACTCTGAATGCAACTCTTTTGAATTAGATTCAAACAGCCGACGTTTAGTGAAACATTTCACATTAGAATGTGATTTGATTCATGAGTATGAGTTCAAGGAGGACGGTCGAACAAGACTGTTTAATATGCCTTACAAACTCTGTCAGAACAGTAACTCTGATATTTGTGTGATGAACATTACAAGTGACAAATTAGGTGAAATATTGATTATTTCTTTCTCTGGAAGTCTGCGAACTATCTACCGTGGGCAAAACATGAAAGAAGATTTTTTGCCAGCAGACGTTGCATGTGATTCTTCCTGCAGAATCCTCGTTGCTGATCCCCTCCACAGCCGGATCCACTTGCTCAGTCCTGAAGGTGAATTTTTGAAATACCTATTGACAGATAAAGAAATAACAAAGCCAACGGCATTTTCACTGTGTAAGTCTGCGCTATGGATTGGGAATGATTCAGGGCTCGTCAAAGTGTTTGAGTACAAATGTTTGTTTTCATACTAACTTATTCATTGTACCGGTATTACTTATACTCACACTGCTTTTAACGTCTTCCGCCCTCAGCTTGTTACTCTTTAGGTTCTTTTTCTACTATTTTCAAGGTCTCATGTCTTCAGCGGAAGGCTTTTTTTGTTATTCTTAGGTTTCTTTTACATTCAAGGTCTCCGCGAGTGTTCTCGTAATTGATTGAGACTGCATTAGTCCTGGAAATTCAGGGATGATAGAAGTTGACTCGTAAATTTCAGATTCATATATAGTATTTGTTACTGTGATGTCCATTGTCCTCAATAATATGCAAAACTAATTTTTCAATTAAAATCTGAAATGCTTTATATCTTGACTAATAGACCAATGACGTGTTTCATGTATTATTATTTCCACCGGAAAATGTTAAAAGGAATGAACATTTTTCCGGGGAATTATCAGGGATGATTTTTCATTTTCAGAAAGGAGTTGAAAATCAGTTTTAGTACTTTTGCTCTAACTGCGAGTGAAAAACACTTAGAAGTTACTTGAAATTGATAGATTTAACTTTTTTTGCATTGCTAACGATTTTTTAAGAATTGATATTTTTTTATAATTTAAATTTGTTTTACTTTCGTTTATCAATCACCCCCCCCCCCCATCTTCCCAAATCAAGATCAAATCAGACATTAAACGGAACACCTGGCCCTTGCAACAAGATCTCATGTTGTTTTATTTTTTTTTGTCCCCCGCTTTCGCAAAAGCGAGGGGACATTACATCTCATTCGTATGTCGGTCCGTCTGTCTAGCTATTCGTCGGTCACAAAAACTAAAAACCTTCCCAATAACTTTTGATTTAGTGGAGCTAGACTTTCACATATAACAAGGGTATTTCTTGTGAAAAGACCCTTCTTTGAGTGCCACTAAATTTCACCTTTTGACCTTGGAGTTTGACACGCTTTCACACAAAAATTTCGAACTTTTACTTTGGCCATAACTTTTTAACAGTAGATGCCCGGACTTTCATATTTCACATGTATTTTTTGTTTAAGGACCTGGCATCGGATACCAACAAATTTGACCGTTTATTCTTGACCTTGAGGATTGCCGTACATAGAATAAAAACTTTAACCTCTACATAACTTTTGAACGGTAAACTGGTAAAGAGAGGTCTTTCATCCTTCAATTGTGTGATTTTTGTGAAAAGACCTTTCATTGAATACCAAGAACGTTGACCCTCTGACCTTGACCATGGAGTTAAAACCTAATTTTAACAAAAACAATCTTGACTTTGACTTTTGTAGTATAGGGTTAAAGCTAGGGATTTGATACCTCAGATAGTCAATCTATGTGATAAGAACTTTCATTTGATATCAAGAGAACTCTAATTTTTTATGTACTTTTTAAACTTTAACCTTAGCTATAACTTTTGAATGGTAAGTTCTAGGGGTTTCATTCTTCACATATGTATTTCTTGTGAGAAGACCATTCATTGGATACCGAGAATTTTAGCGTTTGACCTTTGAGGTTGACCTACATTAAAAAAACAACCCTTTGGCCATAACTTGTGAAGGATTAAAACTAGGACTTTCATACTTCACATATGTTATCCAAGTATCAGGACATTTCTTTGAATACCAAGAAATTTTACCCTTTGCCCATGAAGTTTGACCGACTTTTATAAAGAAAACAATCCTTGGTCATAATTTTTGAAGGGTTAGAACTAGGGCTTTCATATGCATACTTCACTAATGTAATCCTACATGTAATAACAAGACATTTCATTGGATACCAAGAACTTTTACCCTTTGCCTTGGAGTTTGACCTTCTTTCAAAAAACAAACGTTGACCATAACTTTTGAAGGGTTAGGGTTTGGGCTTTCATACATCACATATGTTATTCTTATGACAAGACCTTTTATTGGATATCAAGAACTTTGAACCTTTGAACTTAACTTTTGGAGTTTCAGTTACCTTGAATAATCTTGGTCATTACTTTTGAACCGTAAGGGCTAAGGCTTTCATACTTCATAAATGTACATTTTAATACTTGAGACAACACCTTTGCAGTTTGACCTACCTTTTAAAAACGTATCCTTGGCCATAACTTTAATTTTGAACAGGTGGTGCTGCTTCACAATCTTATTTCTTGTGAGAAGACCCTACTTTGGATACCAAAATATCTAATATGATTTAAGAAAATTTTCCTTATGTTGCCATACGGGGTCATGAGTGTTTCACAAACACATTTTGGTCCTTATAGCTTTTTATTAAGAAGAGAAATGACTTTCATATTTGACATGTGCATTAACTATGACAAGATATTTTCGAGCATGCTATGATTTCTGACTCGTAGACCTTGAAGTTTTTTTTTTAAGCAAATTTGGTCTTAATTTCTAAATGACATACGATAGGGCGTTCATATTTGACACAATATGTCATAAAACAAGATTTGTTTGTGAAACACTATGCGCCCGGCGGCAACAAGGTTCCAAAAACCTATTTTTAGTATATAAGCCACAGTAAACGTCACAAGGTCATGACTTTGGTGTCATTTAAAGGACTTAACTAGTGGAGTATGCATACCAAATATGAAGTCTCTATCTTCCATGGTTCCAAAGTTATGGCCAAAGATCTAAGAGGCTATTTTGAGCATATTGGTCACCGTCAAGGTCACAAGGTGATTGACCTTGGTGTCTTGTGGAAGACCTCATTTAGTGGAGTATGTGTACCAAATATGAAGTATATCTTTCACGGTTCAAAAGTTTTAGCGATGGTTAAAGTTGACAACAGACAGACAACCAGAGAAACAAACAGACAGACAAGACAAACAGACAGACAGGACAAAAACAATATACACACAGATCTATCGATCATATATCGGTGCATAGAAATGAACGCTCACCCACATAGACACCGAAAGCGGGAGTTCGCAATTCTTTTGAATTTGCTTGTTTTTTTTTATATATATTTTCTGCAAGCGAGTACCTAAAAATGGTTCGTTTGATTTTCATAAAACTAACATGCTCAGTATAACGTCAGATTTATATAAAATTCATATAAAATATTATTTTTTTTATTCCGAGGATGTCACTTTTTGGATTTTAAGAGGGTTACTTTATCCGGCATTTTTTTTTTTTCAAAACCATGTATTGAACATAAAAGGATTATCTTTTAAGTAATGTTACAGGAACCTATAAAGAAAAAAAAATTGTATAGACCTGAACTACCGGGAGTACAAAGCTCTGATGCTTATTGTGGTCCAAAAATAGTTCTATCACGAATTTCAAGATTTCGAACAACTGTTCAATAATATCATTTTACCTGTAAATATTTTGATAATATTTACATATCTATACATAGAAGGTTAATTTATTTTGATATACATGTAACATTTACATTCAATGATTTATTTAATGAATTTTAAAAGAAACGTGTGAATTACTTTATCTAAACTAATTAGCAAACAGTACATGATATTATTTAAGAAATGAATTTAATTTTTGAAGATTCATGAGGTTATGAACTACGACGCTTCACGCCGGCATATTTCATGATAAATATGAAGGCGTGAAGCGTTGTAGTTTATATACCTCATGAATCTTCAAAAATTAAATTCATTTCTTATATTTACATTATTTTTATGATGACTTGCCATAAATTAATACCATTCAATTGTCATTTTTAAAGCAAATCAGTGTGGACTATATTTTTTTGACGTCAAGTGCGGTATTATGACGTAACAATGGAGATATTCATGCTGATTCGTGGATCATATGTAATGTAGTTCAACAGAAAATTCAGTGCATTTTATTTTGTAAAGATTCAGAAGGCAAATTTATTGGAAATGGAAATATTATTATTTATATCCATTTGATAGATGTAGCTATACTTTAGTGTCTGACATGTCGTATTGGGTAAGGTATGTAACGTACGTATATATTTTTGTATCGTGAAAAAAAAGTTTTTGTATATTGTGTGTTCACATGTGTTATATACAACAAAAGTTTAAACATTTTTACTTCATTAAAAGTAGTGATTTACATTTAAATTACTGCAGTAGTATTTAAAGTCACTTATTAATTTTATGATAATAATTATATACAAAGAAGGTAATTCATATGCAGATTATTTTAGTTTTGTCTTAATTATATAAATATCACAGAAAAGAGAGAGATAGCATTGATGCAAGAAATATTTATAGAAAAGTTTGTATCATGAAAGAGAAGAGTTATCTCTCTTTATGTTTTGATTACATGTATGTGTGTAATATTGTATGTTTGTAATTAATAAAGTGCGATTGAATTTTTTCCGTTATGTCATTGGCAGTAGGCAAGTTGTTCTTGATTAAATAACAAAATTATCTAATCAAATTGCTCCACAGTTCCCCGCCCTGTTCTGTATGAATATTTTGTGGTCTTACATTTACAACAAAGTATTTGAACAAAATTTCTGCTGTAAATTTGGCTATTTTTGCTGTTTGGTTTCTTGTCGATATTGCTTGTGCATATCTGGTAAAGCGGTGTGTTTCAACTAAAATATTTTCATACCCTCCCTTAGATTTTTCTAGTGAAAGAAAGGCAATACAAATAACATCTAGTGGTTTACTTGTCTGAATGTTCACTAAGGTTCAATACCACGTTCCTTTTATTTTAATTCACTTTAACAGTTGCTAATCAATGTCGCTATCAGTTGACATTCTAGGCAAATAGAATTTTTCACAAATGAGATTAGTTGTTCTGATGGCCCATTTTATCATGTAATTAAGAAATAAATAAATAGTTTATAAACTTCAATGGGCCTTCTCAGAAGATTTGATCACGTACCGACCCACTTCAATTCCCATCAAAGTTTATAAACTTGTTATTTATTACTTATATAAACATTTGAAATTGACAATTAAATATATTTGGATATAAATATTGCACTAACCGGTCACCGTAGATTTCCGACAAAAGTACGCAAGGTGTAAATCGGCTTGAATGGCAAAGAATTCTATTTCGAAGGGAATATTTTGTTAAATGCCACTTGTGATCAGT